ACACAAAGATACTTTCAAAATGAAATCCAAAAAGACCAGACTAATAAATGCAACCACATGTAATTAACTGATATACCTTATAATCTCATAGCACTGTACACTTCCTAGAGTACTTTCACATGCTATTTCATTCGATCTTCACCTAGCTATTGCCTACTAAACTGACTTACATGGTAGTCATGATGAGAATGAAATGTCAAAATCTCTATATCCTGTTCTGTATGCCAAGGAGAAGTAAACCTCAGATATGTCAGTCTACTAGTGCAACTGTGTTGAAAGAACATGGCTCTACAATAGCTCTTTGGTCATCAAGAGGTTTTTATTTACTTCTGGCTATTTTGAAGAGTTGGGTTATTCAACAAATATTTGTGGGGCATCTACTGTGTGCCCAGCAGTTACCAGACAGATAAAACTCTAACTTAGTGGAATCTGCATTTTAGTGGAAGGAGACATAAAATAAACACATAAGTTAATAAATTATATTAAATGTCAAATGTGATGAGTGCTATGGAAGGAAGAAAAGGAGAAGGAGCTCCATTTCTGGTAATGATGGAATAGTCTGTCCTGGACTATGAGATAATATAAATTTTACATAAAAACCAACTATTTGAAGATACTAGACAATGACCGAAAGCAGGCAGAAATTAGAGGAAATGCAAAATGTGAATGACAGTATGGTGTTTTATTATTATTCTTCTTTTAAATCTTTTTTTGAGAAAGAGGGAGAGAGAGCATGCACAAGTGAGGGAGAGGCAGAGGGAGAGGGAGGGAGAGAATCCCAAGCAGGCTCCATGCTGAGCATGGATCTCGATGCAGGGCTAGATCTCATGACCTTGAGATCATGATCTGAGCCAAAATCAAGAGTCAGACACTTAACTGACTGAGCCACCCAAACTTACAGTTTTAAAATAAGTCATAAGGATGTAAAGTACAGCATAGGAAATATAATCAATAATACTGTAGTAACTTTGTATGGTGACAGATGATAACTATACTTACCTCAGTGAGCATTTCATAATGTATATAAATGTTGAATCACTATGTTGTACACCTGAAACTACTATAATGTTGTATGTCAACCAGGCTTCATTTAAAACTAAATTAATTAGGGGCGCCTGGGTGGTGCAGTCGGTTAAG